TCAGGAAGCACAATATACAGCATTAGACAGCAATATGTTTGAACATTTTTTTATGTTCTACTATAGAACCTAGTTTGTGTCAGTGTGTGCCATGTTAATGATCTAGAGATGCTGGTCATAACACTTCTCTGGCCCTTAACAAGAACCATGTCCAGGTGGTGGGCTTAATCCTTAAAAGATTTTTTTGCTGGGAAATGCTTCACTGAATTAAAACAAAGACGTGATAGCTGGATCTATTAATAAGAAGAGTCTTACGTTTAGAGCACTTGGGAAACTGGAAGTAGTAACATTCCCATATTAATTCAACTAGAGCAGGCAAAGGAATAATGACAAATGGTTGGTGGAAAATTCACTTTGCTACCAATGCCAAGGAAGCATCTGTATTAGTAACAGAAAAGACAACAGAGTTTTGTGGCATCTTAAACAGTAATAAATTTATTGTGACATAATCTTTCATAGTTTGTCGCCCACTTTAAGAGATTTATTAAGTGGTATATTTTAAGTTGGTAGGTAGAGTGGTCGAAATGACTAGATAGGCGGGGTATAAATACAATAAATAAATAAAAATAAATAAATAAAATATGGATCCAGAATGTGGAGAGAGTGAAAAAAAAATGACTTATCCAGACAGGGCATTTGTATCCCTTTAAGGTTTCCACTAAATACCAATCTTAATCTGAGATCCAGCTGATATGCTTGTTCTGGTATGTGCAGATGTAAAAAAAGGGCCACCCCTTCAGTTCTTGCACTGTTGTGCCCCTCCAAAGCCCCTTGGTTAATTTTGTTCCCATTTGTGGTGCTTCCCTTCCCAGCCTGAAACTTACCTTTCTTTTGTTCATTTAAAAATGGAATTTAGCACCTATGTCCGCATGCAGGAGGGTACAATGGTTCAGTACTATGGTACTTGCCCCTGTTTTACCAAAAAAAAGGGGGGGGGAATAGGGAATGGTGCCAAGTGGCTGAGAAGGAAGTGCTGTCATAGTAACAGTGTCTAGAACCCAGAGCTCACAGCCTCAGCTCTGACTGTTGACAGGAGACTTCAGGGGATTTCCAGTTGGCTCTCTAACTCAATGCATGCTGTGGCTACATTCTAAGTATTTCTGAACTGACAAAAGGTGACAACAAGAGATGTTGTTTTTAGGAATCTTAGAAGTTCCTTAGAAGGTCCTGTATGGCCCAGCAGAATGAAAGCATCATCCCCCCCCCCGCTTCTAACTCCTTTTAGTACAACAAGAATGAACAGGCCAAAATATAATTGCTCTTTTAATCAACTTGAAGCTCCTAGTTAGATATATGCCTTAGTACAGTGGGGTCTCTACTTAAGAACTTAATCCGTATTGGAAGGTGGTTCTCAAGTTGAAAAGTTCTTATGTTGAATCTGCATTTCCCATAGGAATGCATTGAAAACCATTTAATCCGTATCTGCTCTTTTCCATCCATAGAAACTCCAGTGGAACCTCTACTTAAGAACTTAATC